CAGTGGGAGTGGTCCCCCAACAGTGGCTGCCCTTCTAGGCGCCACAACAAGGTGCCCCACATCAAGATCCAGAACACAGGCAACTATTGTGACCTGTGTGGACGCTGGCTGAGCTGGTGCAGCGCTACACCAGCCAGCGCCGGGGAAGGGGGCTGCTTTGTGAGTGCAATGGGGCGCCCATCCAAGGAGCACCTGCTGTGCTGCCAGGACCCCACATCCAGCAGTGAGTGGCAGCATCTGTGTGTGTCTGTGCACGTGTGCATGTGAGCATCCTGGGATAGGGTCTGCTGGGCACCACCCAGGTGTCCTCCACCCCCCATGACTGCAGCAAAGCTGAGGGACTGTCCCACTTGCCCTCCCCAGGGTCCCAAGCACCAGATGCAGGGGCGAGCATTCATCAGGGGTCCTGCAGCCAGCCTCACCCCTGCCCTCCTGGCTGGTGATGTGGGGTGAGCAGGTTCTTCCAGGCTCGGTTTCCCCATCTGCGCTGCTGAGGCCTGAGGGTGCATCTACTGGGAAATGGGGGTGGGGCTGGCCTGGGAGGCTGACTTTCCCCTCCTTGCGGAGGACCGGGCTGCCACCTGGTGGCCACCCTAGACCTTGCAGAGCCTATCTGCCCTGCCTCCTGCAAGCTCCTGAGTAGGGCAGGGTCAGAGAGGTGGGCAGGGCAGATGGTGACTGGCCTGGGTGGGCTGCTGCCTGGGCCCCGAGGTCTGGGTGTGCCTGTCTGTCTCTGTTTCAGTCTGTGTCTGGGAGCCTTCTGGTCGCATGTGGGTCTGTGCCCCCCACCTGGCCAGGCTGTGACCCCTAGTCTCACCCGTGCTTTCACCCCCTGCCCCAGGTCAGGTGGTACCATGGCACCTGTCTGGCAAGGATGCTGAGAAGCTGCTAATGGAAAAGGGATGTATGAGCAGCTTCCTGGTGTGGGAGAGTCAGCAAGCCTGGGGACTTTGTGCTCACACAGCAGCTGGGTAAGTTGGACTGCTGGCCACCTGTCACCCACATGATGATCTGCTTCCAGGTAGGAGTCAGTGGCCAGGGTGGAGGTGACTCCCGGGAGGTGGTGGTGGCCAGGCCCCACTAGGAAAGTATGGTGTTGGAGACGGGGAGGTGAGGAGGGGTTCGACTCCCTCAGTGAACTGGTTGAGTGCAAGAAGAACCCCATGGTAAAGTCAGGGGCCGTGGTGCCCCACCCCACCCCACACATGAACCTTGGGATCCAGAGTGGGTGGCTCCCCTGGGATGCCAGCACACACCTGCCCAGGAAAAAGGGTGCAGGGCAGCCGAGGGGCATGTGGCAGAGGGGCAGGGTGGCTGATGGGCAGGGTGTGGGCCCAGGCAGCTGTCCCTGGGAGGGTGCTGTGGGACCCTGCTAACCTTCGACACGAGCCTCTCCCTGCCAGCTCTTCAAGGCCACGAGGATCAGTGTGACAGGCACTGAGAGCTGCGTGTAGGAACTCGACAAGGCCACAGACACCGGCAAGAAGGCCAAACAGAGCTTCTGGGAGGAGTTCAAGGTGCAGGGTGCAGGAAGGGAGCAATGAGGGGTGTTGCAGGGTGTTGTGGGCTGGGGGAAGGGGTCAGCTGTGGTTGAAGGCCCCTCCTCCTACCAGGTGCTACCCTGGGGTGAGGAGGGCCCTACCTGGCTCCACCCAATCCCACTGGCCTTGCTGGCTTCCATGTTCCAGTGGGCACAATCCTGGCCTGGGCTCTTTGGGGCGGTGCTCACAGGTGAGCCACATTCTCACCCCAGGCCCCAGGTCCCAGGTGCCTGGCCCCGGGTGGCCTCACACACGCAGCCTCCCCAGTCTCTCTTGGGCCACGCAGGGGCTTCAGTATTTTCTAGGCCAGTGGGGCCTATTTCTGTCCCTGGCACAGATCCTTTCTCTATTGGGGGGTCCCGCAGACCCCTCACATTTGGCTCTTCCCAAATAAAACTCACTGTCCCCAAAACCTGCTCCCTTCCCTTTCGCAGGCACCTGGAGCCCTGAGTCCCATCCTCCCTCCCAACCCACCTGCTCGGCCTCGGCCGCCCGTCGCGCCTTCTGCCGCGTCCGGCTGCTCCGGGTTCACCCCCTGCGCCCCTCCCATCCCCGGGGCCTCGGCTGCACCCGCTCGGACCCGTGGCCACCCCACCTGAG